GGACTCTGAAAGTGAATACAAGTTGTGGGTGTATTCGGGCAGAGAGGAGGCACCATACCGACTTATTGGTAAGTTTCTGTGAAAATATAAGATGGATTGTGTTTTAATTATAGTTCTAAATGTCTCAGAGAATTCGTCATATGGTCCCAAATTTAAATACTATTAAACAATAAATCCCATGTAATATTCATTTATTCATTTAATATATATATCAAGTATGTCCTATGTGCAGGTAAATGATAGCTCTTCATTCAAGCAACTAGTGGTGTAGAGGGGAAGCGAAATGTTAATTTTCCTTTCTTTTTTTTTTCACTTTGCAAACAGAACTGTTTGTCAAACCTTTTAAAACTTTCTTTCTAAGAGAAAGCAAGATGTGCTGGAATTCCGTTTTCCCTGTATATTTATTTTTCATATTTAGTTCTTGAATCTCCTTTCCTTTTCCTACCATTTGCCTCTATAGAAAACCTTCTATGATCCAGTCATGCCTCTTAACCTATCAGTGAGTATTTAACACCTGCCCTGTACCCAGATCTTTGCTAGGCATCAAAAAAGAAAATGAAATTAAACCATTTAGATTCCTAAAAATCTTTATTGACTTATTTAGCAATAAGTACTACCTTACTAACTAACTACTTTGCTGTTTCTCCAGCCAAATATCCCAGCATCGGTTTTGAGGAATTACTGGTAAATAGGTCACATCTCACCTTATTTAAATCATTTAGGTAAAAAAAATTTCTTGATCAGTGAAGTCCTTCAGTATAGTTAATGGAAATAAGGCAGTTAAAATAAGGGACGGCATCTGGAGCAAATCTTGAGATGATGACATTGATGATATGACAATTTCTGTTAATAATTTTTAAATGCTTGCTGTCTGCGTAGCATGCAAAGCATATCACATGAGTTATCTCATGTAATCCTTTCATTTACCTGTGAGATCACTACAGTGTAATTCAGGTTTCAAGTGATCTGAGTAATCTAAATCCAAACTTTTCTATGAAATGTATATTCTCAAGCTTTAAAGCAAGCCATCATGCACATAGCTGAGGACAAAATTCCCTGCATTTTGGGGGAGGGTATAGCTCAAGTGGTAGAGCACATGCTTAGCACACAGAAAGTCCTGGGTTCAATCCCCAGTACCTCCTCTAAAAATAAGTAAATAAACCTAGTTACCTCCCCCCACAAAAAAAAAAAGAAAGAAAGAAAATTCCCTGCATTTCCTGTTTGTTTCTTAATATTGTCATTTGTGTAAAAGTCAATGAGCAACAATTAAAGCTATGATGAAAAGTCAAATAAGTACTTAAAATAGTTGTTTTAATAAAATACATTAATTTAATTAAAACTATGTAGATAGTAACTTTCAGGCTTAAAACAACATGAAGCTTCATTTCTAACTCTCACTTATAAAAAAAACCATAGGATATAGGACATGGTTGTTACTTAGCAGCAATTCTCCGTTATATATTTTACTGCACCTTGCAAATTTCAGTTGTGGATTAGCTACTGGCTATTTTGGTAAATCAGTTTTGTTTTGTTGCTGTCATAGAAGTCTTTTTTATTTTTCTGCCTTAGTCCCTGAAAGTTGCTATAGTACTTAATATCAGTGAAACATTGACACTGTATGCCTATGCGAGATGAAAAGGAAAAGTTCACTGAATTAGATTCAGTGATAAGTCTGGAATGGAAGAGACTTTACTCTCTGTACTTAAAAAGTAAACAAATCTACAGCACAGTGGTACTTAAGAATTGAGAAAATGAAATTATTTACCGTACTAAAGAGCAAAAACTGATATTGCAGTCACGTGTCCAGGGTTTAGTTTTTCTAGTTTGAAAATTCCTTTTTGAATCTTGTTTTTGTATCTCTCATACCCTGCAGTCTTCCTTCTAACTGTTGCCTGTGAATAACGGCCTCAGAGTGGCGTGGTGGGAGGGAAGCATAAGTCAGACAAGCCAGCCCTTGAGTAACTCTAATTGTGTATAACTAATAAAGAGTATAAAATGTCTTCTTTCAGGTAGATATCTTGTACTGAATAATAGTAATAGTAGTGATCTTTGAAATATATAGTTATTTGCCCTTTATATTTAAATACTGTTAACCACTAAGTTTTACTTATTTGATCCTTATAATACTGTGTGATGGGTAGGATAAATATTTTAAATCATGGATTTAAGGCTGAGAGAGGTCAGGGATTTGCTGAAGATTTTACAGAGGTAGGTAGTGTCAAAGGAGAAACTAGAATGCCTTTCAGTATTCTCAGATATGATCATAGGAAAAGTCAACATGATGCAACTCACAAACTAACCTGTGCATTCCCAAACAAGATATTCTTTAAAGACTTCTTTCTCTTTGTTTCTCCTCTCTACCCCCACCCCCCCCCAAATAACTACTTTGGTGGGGCCTCCTGCATTACACAGTGGTCTCTAAGTGTAAGAGTGTGCATGGCGATCGCTCAGTCAACAAAAGGATTCTTTATACCAAAAGTCCCAGGAGCAAATTGCAGGACATTCCAGTCTGTAGCACACATGCTTATACTGACACAGTGCCAGCCAGCCTAAAGTCTACATTTAGATTTTTCTCTGTGTAGGACACGAATTCCCCTATGGGATTAAAATGAATCACCTCCGAGACACGGCACTCCTGATGCAGGGGTCAGAGGACTCCCCGACGCCTTCCAACCTCCAAGAGCCCTTCCTCATGGAACAGCTGCCCCAAGAGAAGCAGTGT